GATCAATTAGCTACTACCAAATGGGTTAAATGGGTCAAATAGCCTCCCCTTGTTAGTAAGTGTTTATATGTGTACCTTCAAAGCCATGTGCATGCTGTTTTGAGCAAAAAGAGTGTATCCTATGAGAAACACAAAATTGATTGAGATATTGATTCATTTCTAGGACATTACCTCCACCATGTTTAAGAATCTGTTCAGAACTACAAAAATGAGGGCCAGGAGAGTTCTGCAACAAAAGTTAATAAACAGATAAGACCAGGATGAACGTTCACGTGATGGAAATGTTATAACGAGGAGATAGAGAAGAACTACAGATGGTTCAAATAGCTTATCCATGAAGCATGGCCTGAGAATGCTCTGTTGCCTCTGGACTTTGCTCACTTGGGATTATTGATGATGCAACAGCAGAATTCATTCTGAAGTTTACAGAAACATTTTGCCTGCTTATGTGGAAGAAAAGACTTCCATACTGTATATTGGCAGTTTCACCATGCAGCATGAAGGTGCCCTAAAATAGGGAAAATGCATTAGCAGAATAAAAGCAGAAAATCAGTTCACCAAGTCAATCCCCAGATTGAAAACCTCTTGAGTGTGCCCTTAAAATGCTTAGTAAAAATTAAAAAAGAAATTGACCTCAGAAAACCTTGAGAACAGATACATTGGGTACTCCCAGTGGCTGCAGCAAGGAAACTCAAATGATTATAGAAAGAGTTTGATGACTTGAGTGTATCAAATACTTCCCTCAAACTAATACTGGGTACAACATAAAGTAGGTTTTTGTTCTATTATGATCAAGTCTCTGCATGGAATTGCCTAATAATAAAATGTATATTACAGTATGTTGCAATTATAAGTCACATTAATCTCAATTTCACAAACATGAACTGTTTGCACATCAGCAAATAACAGTTTTGATTTACAGTAGCTGTCCAAATGCTTTCTGAGGGCACTGTATGGTCTCTCTAATTTCTGGCATCCCTCCATTTACATTCTAAGATCTCTGTCAAGGCACAAGATACTATCATACAGCGTTCTTTGGTGGAGATGAAGACTGGATAAAAAGATATTCAAGTTACTGCTGTAGGCTTTGTTCTGCCCATGTTTGTTTTCAAGCCTTTCTCGGGCAGATCCTAACTTGCTTTCCCAAAGATGCCGCAGGATTTAGTCTAGGCAAATAATGCAGGAGAATGGCAATGGCACTCAGATATGCCCCCCCCTCCACACAGACACACTTTCCTCCAGCAATCTCAGCCTTGTAGGCCTGTGTTGTACAAAAGCACACATTGCCCAGTATGTGATAGCGAGATGCAGGTGCGTCACCCAGACATTTGACATGATGGCATGAAATGAGAATTAAGAGAAAACAGATAGACCAGCACTATATTGAAATGAAGTATTCGATTCACATGCAGTGACTTCCACTGAGTAGTGCTCTAACAAGCGTACGTATAGTATGTTAATTGGAACCACTTTATTACATACTGTAGACACTTCTTTTAGAAGTCAATGACGAGTGTCAATCTGCCAGCAGTTTTTGTGAGCTATTTGGAATTTAAAGTGACATTTGGCACTTGAACAACTGTTTTCTAACCTAACATTTGGAGTTACCTGTACCGTGAAGTGATTTTCCAGTAATGTGGCAACTCTTTATGTGAAAGAGTTCAGACTCTGGAATAAATCTAGCAATAGTCAGGTGATTAAAACCGAGGGCACTATACTGGACCTTTCTTTCATATTTAGAATTGTCTTTTTTTTTCTTATTCGTAAATTATAACTAGAGGTATTTAGGAACGTTCAGGCTGCAAATAAAGGAAGGCATCAAGGTGACACACTAACTGAAGTAAAGTACTACAGCTGCAAAACACCTGAGGAGTCATTTTAACCAATATCAACTGCTCTTAAAATATTGTGATAAGAAATTCCTCTGGTTGGCCTGCTTGCCACTAAAGATATGAAAGGAGCATACTTACTGAGATCTTACAGGAAGCCAGGTTTTTCTTTAGACTTTAATTTGAAGACAAAGAGAGAGGACTGAGGGCACCATGGAGGCACAGTGCTTAGCTTTGCTGCCTCATGGCACTGGGGCCCTGGATTCAGTTCCAAACCTGGTGTGCTATCTGCATGGAGTTTGTATGTTCTCACCGTGTTCATGTGGGTTTCCATCAGGTACTCTGGTTTCCTCACACAGTCTGAAGGCAGGCTAGTGAGTTAGTCGGCTTCTCTGAAATTTGCTCTGGCATGACTGTATGTGTGTATGTGTTTATGTGTTCCCTGCAATGGACTAGTGTCCCATCCAGTGTGTATCCAACCTTACCCCCATTACTTGCCGAAACAGGAGCTGGCTCCCCCGTGACCCTAAATTGGATAAACAGGTTAGAAAATGGATTGATAGATGGACGATAGGTGCAGGTTTCATGATAAATCTTAAACGTTCAGATTTTTGTAATTTAAGAGCTTATGTGATGACTGCAGCTTCACCCCTGCTGAGATTCAGCCAGTGCCTATCACAGTCACCTCCAGCTTCAAAGCCACACAGCTGCTGCCCAGACACCAGTGAAATCGGCTGTGCTAAAAGGCTGGGCTTCCTGCCACTGGAGAATTCAGTGAGTTAGCAGCTGACATGAGGTGACACCAACTTCTGGAAGTGGTGCAGGGACACTGAATCACTATCTTCATATTTTAAAAGAAAATTAACATTCAGGCAGAGTCCAGTTTTTGCTGTTTCTAGTTTGTACTGTATGTTATGGAGGCACATAGTTGCAATACATCAACAGGATATGTTCAATTGCTTGCTAGATCAATATGAAAATAGATGGAAAAAATGAATATCGCTGATAAAAAATCTAGTAATAGTGCATTTTAAATGCATAAATGGTAACAGCATGTAATACTTTCAAAAGGTTTTGGTATTAAAGCCCTGTCTAGAGTTTTCCCCTTGTCATGTCCATCCTTCCACCAGAGAGTGCATTTCAAACTTGAATTGGCGAAGAGCTGTTTGACCCTAATGGAAAATGTTAGACACGGGAAGCAGTAAGCTCTGGTTTGTAGTCTTCCCCATTTACTTCTATGGCTATCACTGCTCTCCTGTGTTTAGACTGCTCCCCCTACCATTCCCCGCCGGTAATGCATTTTGCACATTACGAAGCCCGTACTTTATGTCAGGTTGGACCAGATTTTATCCTTTTAAACTGGGTGCTATAAATGGAAACATCTGATGGAAAGCTTAGAATTGTATGCATCACAGTGGCATAGCCACTGTTGTAGAAGGCAATGCCACTGTCTGCCATCTTTACCACAGTCATAGAAGAACCACATCAAAATAGACCAATTTTCCAGGATCACATCCAGGCATAGAAAATAGATGCTGGCATTTTGCTTTTGACTGCTCCCTGCCAGTACTTAGTAACAAATTCTTCACTACTGTACCTGTAGCCAGGGATAGATGTAAATGACACCGTGAATGAAGCCCAATAGCCAAGCTGGGACATGCTGGGAGACAACCTGACTGTGATCAATGTATCGAATGTGTGTTGAAATGGCCAGCCCTATTGATTGTATATTTCTAATTCTAGCACAGGAACTTTGATTTGGATCACTATCATACTCTAAACATAACTACCAAACAGGGGACAGATGTAGACAGATTCCCTGCATTGTATTCAGATCTCAAAAACATGTGGATTTAAAGGGATCACAGTGACATTCAAACCTGTACTGTATCTGCAGCTGTATCGAGCAGCTACGGTATTTAGTCAGAAAAAAGAGCAAGAAACTGGAGGAAAGGCAGTGTAATGTTAGGTGACCTTTTTGGAAACAGTGTCCTTAAAGTAGGGGATTTTTTCCACTTAAGACTGACTAAACTCTAAACAAACAGGCAGATCATTTATGTCCTGAATAGTACTGGAGACTCCTAGGTTAGCTGGAATTAAAACCAGCAGATACCAATGGCCTACACTATGGTTGAGGTCTCCAATCTGTCCCTGACCCTAGAAGACCCTGGAATGACCCTGATTCTGTTCACCTGACCCTGGAATTGTAGCTAGTATTAGGAACAAACTCTCTACTAATATGACCTGTTTCATATCACAGGAAGCAAGTGGCATCAGCGATGCAAGTCACTTTGCTTCCTAATCACTAATTACTGTATTAATTGTGTCCGACTACAAAATTTTGCACATAGTAATAAGCTACAATGGGCTTTTGAATGACTTAAGAGCTGCCAGCCACTTGCTCTAGACCTGTTCAGTTTGTATTGATTTTTAACTGGTAAACACTTCTCTTGTCTCTGGTATAGGGCTGAACACTGGCCAGCAGAAAGCTTTCTGGAAGCTCCCCAGGATCCCCCAATCATGGGACCTTATCATGTTTAATTTCTTCTTCACCGGCTCCCTTCAAAGCCCTTACATAAAGTGAAACCTAATTAAAGGCGTTTGACTACACTGGTTACCACACAGCTCCAGCTCCAAGCTGGGGGCTATTATAACTTGACAGCACATATGAACAAAAAGGACGAAATAAAATACAGCAGAAGTGAGAAAGTTTGTTTTGTTTAGGACTGCAATAGGATAGGGATCTGGCACCAGATTAGAGACACCTGGCTTAATGTTTAGTTGATGTACAGTAATACCAGATACCAGTGTAAATTATGCAACAAAGTCACTCGTGTGTGTCTGGGTCAGCCATGAATAGTCAATTAATTAAAGTGATACCAAATAAATCTAAAATCCGTTTTTAACACACCATGTACATAAACCATGGGAAGCGTAGCCCGTGAAGACTTTGGACACATGATTTGCAGATTGCAGGTTCAAGTCTCCCCTCTGGACACTGTGGCTATGTGCTCCTGTGCCTCACCGGGTGGCTCTAGTCCACACAACGCCAGGAATGGGGACCAGCATTGCTGGGGGTTCATCTCATTGACGGATCGGCCCCCCGCTTAACGTCACTGAAACCAGGCTAAATTCTGGCGCGTCGAACATCAGTGGCTCTGATAAGGACCTTGCCTAATACATACTGTACAGTAGTTTTTGCAGATGCTCAACACAGATGCAGTTTCTTGTTTCATTGCTGTGGTGTGTGCACGGCGCCGCGCCCTGTCAGGCTGCTGGTGAGTTTTAATGTTGGGCCGGTCATTTTATCTTACGTTTGCAATTGCACTTTTTGCAGTTTAAAAACAGTAGTTCCCACGTTTTGCTATGTTCTTTAAGTTGACTTATTACTGGAAATCTTGTTTTGCATTAGTTGTTTTCGTGGAATGCAACACTGCCAAGATGCACTGTGATATCGGGGAGAGGAAACCAACCTGAACAGGTGCACTTTATTGGTTACAGGGCTTTCTTATTTGGTTTCTTCCTTGTGAGCTCAAAGGAACGCGGCATTACGATTATGTGGAGCTGTGGCTTGAGGTCTGGTTTGGTAACTGGAAGACCGTTAATTCAAATCTTATTTGCTGATCGGTGTTGCACCTTTTAGGCGACGCGATTCATCGCTTCAGTAAATCGGTAGCCTATCAATGTAAAATGCTTGGAATGGGTGCTAATCAAACCTAAATTAAACCTTAAACAGTAATACCAGACTAATATTGTTAAAAATTCAAATCCTGCAATTTTGGTTTCCTGCACTTGAGCATCAGTTTTCTCCGACGTTTTTTTTCTGAAACGTAACCACAGGAGCGGATGTTTTCCTGGATAGTTATTTAAAGGATATTTAAATTGTAATGTTCTTCGGTAATTAGGACCATACACTCATCCATTTTCAATAACCGCTCTGGCCAATGCAGGGTTCCGGTGAGCCTAACCCGGGCAGACAGTGGGCGAGAAAACTCAATGCACTCTGGCCCGGCGCCAGTGCATCGCAGGTAATCGGAACCACATTCAAGAAAACCGGTGAAAAACATTTGTTTTTAGAGATCTGGCTTTATTTTAATGTTCATGTGATTAAAAATAAAAGTCTTGAATGTTTTTTGTTAAGTACTGTTCTTTCTCTAGGCAAAGAACATCATTTTAGTTTGGGCAATGTTAACACCTTTTTCAGACCAATTCATACTAACTCTGGTGGCGATATAAACCTACATGTAAATGTGTAGTAGTTTGTCCCTAAAGTCTCCTTTCTTAGTGTGTTTCTTTACGACATATTGATCGTAAAGGTAAAGGCCTGGACGTCTGTATAACAGCAGTGCAAGTCATCGGTCTGTGGGCTGGTCCGAAGTGTAGACCTCCAGAACTGTACCCTAACGTCCTCTGAATTTTCAGTCTACGTAATACTGGAATACACATCTTTCTTATTGTAAAACAGCTCACTCCAGCCGAGCAACCTCACAACGGGAAGAAAAAAAATTCACAACTGTTTATAATTCCGCCGCAACTGGCTCGGACTGGACTTCAGCATAGTAATCCTACTGTATGTTACCTTGCACTAACACACGTTTGGACCGTGAAAACTCTTACAGTTTACCACATTTACCATGGGTAAATGTGATTCTAATATTACAGGGATTGCGATACTGTATCCCTGTAGTTTGCAGGGATAGTATTCTAGGCCTGGTAGTATGTTAGTAGGCATTTTTTGTGCAGAGTATATCGTGGTTTGCCAGACTTTACTATGGGTTATTCCACAATACTAACCGTGATTATCTACAGTACTGCTATTCGCGTGGGCGGCTAAATCCTTTCATGTAAATATGGAAATAATTAGCAAATATGTAGCCACAATTCAGGGTGTTCTATAGACTTTGACACACGTGTGCAATTGAAAGTTTGTCTGGGGTCACGTCGTCTCCTTACATCTTAGCTGTACACTCTCGTCTTTCTCTGCCTCGGCTTACTTTTACAAAAAAAAGGGGGCTGGTTCTGCAGTTTGGGCACGACTCCGGTTATTTCCGTGGTTGTAAAATAAGTTCACTGCTTCTAGTCTGCGGACAGACCAACAACACCAGGGTTGGGATCACAGATCTCGGGACAATAAAGGAACCAAACATTTTAAAACAAAAAAAAAAGTTGTTTGGCGTCCAGATTTGGAAAATCGATTTCTTCATTTATTTAAAAGGTAGGTTAGCTGTGTCTCTCCTTTTTAATCAATGAATGCTATTTCAGAACTAGTTAGAGAAATAATACATAAAGAACCCCACACTGTTTCGCTTGCTGTACAGTACTGTATATGACAATGTAAATGTAGTCTATGTGGTTTCTAATGTTTTCATTTCCTAAAGATGCTTATCCATACCCTTAACTGTAGGCTATATTTAAGGCGAACCAACATTAGCTGTGGCTTTTTGAGTTATAGAACTGGGGTCTGAGTTCAGAATTTCCCACAACCACAGAAACCTGCGTGAATTGTGCTTAGGTGAATTTCGGGTTTAATTTACCTGCTCTGTAAGTGATTGAAGTAACGGAAACGGGAGTGCTGACTGACGCCTGTTGCCTTTTGCTTGTCGAGAATGCTGACACAACACAATGGATTTGTTATTGTTTTATAAAAAGTTTATTTTCTTTAGTGGTCCGAATAATACAACTGCATCTATATTGGAAGCTTTGCTTACAGTTAAGTGGGATCTATAACGTTATATTGGTCAAATAGGCAAAATCTACTTATTTACAAATAGCAGTTTTCTGGAGCCACAAAGACAGATGCGAACACTATTAATCTCAAGTTTATGTAGCCAGGTAAGATGATTGAGGCGAAATTCTTACTTGGTCAATGGGCTTGGTACTGTACTTGAGGAGGGAGAGCAGCTGCTAAAATGTAAAGGAGCCCAAATAAACATAAAAAAAACGAAGAAAAACAACATTCAAAGCGGTGAAAATGAATAAAAACAACCACACACCTCAATAAAAAAGTTTCACACTGGTTTTAAAAAACATTAATTGAAATTAAGTCGTGTAACTCTTATTTTGGGGGTAACATGTTCAGTTCATTCGGCGCGTAAATGTGGAGAATTTCTTCATGGCTCGGAACTCGTCTAGATGATGAGCTGTTCGCGCTGTTGTCCGCACATCTTCAAACTCTTTGCTAAATTACTTTAATATACGACTCGGGTAGTTTCTTTACCTTGCTGTTGGATATCTTAAGTATTCTGCTTTAAATACATATCGGTATCGTTTCAGTTTTAATAGAAAAGCCTTTTTAAAAGTACACTTTGTGTAATGTTTTTTTTTCCCTGTTTCTGCCGTCTCCGACGTTTTAGGGGGTGTTTGCTCATCTTGTTGGCTTTCTTGTAGGATTAATATGAATTTGAGTTCCAATGAGCTCTTTCCAAACCGCACGATAAAGTACAGTTATCAATTCATTTTGGTGCATAATCTGACCTCTGTGAAAACATTTACCGGTATGATCAACAAGACATTTGCAAAATGCCTTTCTGGGTGAGTTAGCTTTGAAGTGCGTTGTAAACGGCAAAAGTTTAGGTGTTCTGCTAAGAGGGAGAGAGTGAGTGAAGGAATGGAGAGGAGGGCGCGGCTCTTTGTCGCTGCAATGTGGGTTAGGGGTCGAATATGTTGGTTATTAAATGCCATTTTGCGGTTGGTTAAATATGGTTTGAATTTAAGATGCGGTTTGTAAAGATTATAAGCGACCTGGAAAGATATTTATTTAGAATCGTAAAAGCAATAACGTGGAAATACAATCTTAATCAGCAGTTGTTTTTGATAATTGACTGTAAACAGTTTTTTTTTGTCTGATGTATTTAACATAATATACCGTATGATGTCAACGAACGTTGTAGCTCTTGGCATTCAAATGTATTACATACACAGTAGAAGATATTCGGTGTTTATGAAATAGCTATTACATTTCATGCTACAGTACGGTATGTGATACTTTATGTGTAACAGGCAGACATTACCTGGTGACACTGCAGGAATGATGTACAGGTACGGCTGACTTTGAATTACTCTTCCTCAGTCTTCTGGAAGATGTCAATAGTTATGAGGTTTCCATAAAATATTAATGATTGACAATTCTTATTGCACAAAACGGGCCAACCTTTACTTTCAGACCAGGGTAATTATGATAAACGGTGATGACACTAGGATTTCCGCTTGTTTTTATTCTTTTTATTTCGGTATTTCAGTAAATATCAAGTGTTGTAACTTTTATATTCATAAAAGTGGATGAGTCTCTCTTAAAACATACATTTATCAGTCTACGTTCATCTTGAAGGTACCAAATATGTTGGATTGTCTATGGCGTTCTCATGCTCCTCTGCTTGTTTGTGCTCTTTCCTTACCTGTCAAATGTCACAGGCAAGAAAGAGAACAACAAATTTAAAACTGGGAGGCGCATTTTGTTTTCTATTTTCAATCAGTAATTTCGTAAACGAATTAAGACGGGTCGAGGGTTGCGCGTTAGACATTTTCTGTAACGCGTATGGAGCGTAAAGAGGCACCGGAGACCTTCTGCCTCCTAGCGGTGCTTTACAGCCGTGCTGAGCTTTCTGCATCAACTCTTTGTACTGTTGCCTGTCGGAAAACTCCAATTACGTTTTGCAGAATATAAGGGGTGCTGGATCTTCTTTTAGTGCTGTTCTTTCGTTGCTGTCATGTCAAAGAAATGTTTAAGTTGTGTGATTGTGTCTAAATTATTCCGAAATATACGTTTACCTACACATTTTATGTGGGCGTATTTGTACATTTTAGGAATATGCCTAGTGTGTGGAGACGGGATGCAGCAGGCAACAACAGTCAAGGAGTAACAAAGTTACAAGTTTGTCTTGTCTTAAAAATTCGCTTTACATTGTAGAAGCTGTAGGGACAGTAATTAGAGCAGATACAATTGAAATCTCAGAATTCAAGCAGTTAATTACAGTTCGTGCTGTGCTAGTATGTTTCTGAAAAGACTTAAATAAAATAAATCTGCATATGCATAAAAGTCACTTCAGAGGGAACGAAACCCGAAAATACTTAGACAAGGCTATAAATGAAACTTGGCCGGATTATTTCTCCTTATTGCTTTTTTTCTGTGGACACCACATCCAACTGAAGTGGCCAGGGGTGGAATGCCAAATTGCTAGCTTCAGGACAAGTCACCAAATTATAACTATACACTGGTAATTTGACTGAAATTCACGGATGGAGCCACCCTATGGTTTGATAGCCTGGGGAGCAGCATACCTTAAAAAGTAAAAGAGAAAAACGGAGGAAGGAATCTTTAATAGAGGTGCATAAGTTGTGAAGATAAATGCCAGTGCACTGTTCATTTCCTTCAAAGCTGTTTGTCTCCTGTAGACTAAAGCAAAGACTGCTTCCACAAAAAAAAATCAGCTGGTCAGTTTTGAAATGCATTTTTTTGCATCGCCCAGAGTACCTTACTCAAGCTGTAGTGAACAGTATATTGTTTGTACTGTTTTGTAATTTCCTCTTCTGTCTTTTTTTCTGCATGATTCTCTGTTGAGGTTGCATGCAAAACCTCAAAGCTGACTGAAGTGAATCATACCAGGGGATTTGTGTTAGCCTTGCAAGATGCACTCTACCCCATTAACAAAACATTCGTTTCTGAGACCCGTGCAATTCCATCCACTTTACTGATCTCTGGTCTAAAGCAAAGGTCCTCTGCTTCATCCCTTAGAGACCCTCATCCAGAATGTTCTGCAGGTCTCCACAAATTATCAATAGTTAATGGAGAAATTTAAATTGTTCCAATTCAGCAGTGAATTAGATCAACTAAGCAGCCTAATGAAAACAAGAATAGGTGGCCTTCAATGGAGCCTCTTATTATTTCTGGACTTTGTAGTACAACAAGCATCTATGCAGAAATGCAGGAGTATCCTGTAACAGGATGAAAGATACAGTACTGTAAGCAGTATGTACAGTAAGAGCATATAACAGGGTAACACAGATGCTAAGAACTGCTCTTTTAAACCTG